AAGTAAATCACATTTTTTGTTATCTTTACAATTTCGCTGTTCGATAGTGAAGTTTGCCATCTTTTTAACAAAGGAAATGAGCTGAACTTGAAAAACTGAATCTCAAGTCAAACAGTGAAATTTCAGCCTGAACAAATTTTAAGCCTTCCTGAAAAAAAAACGAAAAAAGAAATCATCGCGACTATTTAAGAGACTGAACTACGTTCATCGACCCTAAAAAAATCACCACGAGCTATATAAGAGTCTGTACTACGTTCACTGACTCTCAATCATTTGTTAATAGTTTAAAAAATAACTTATTGAACTGGACATCAATTGATACTCTTTATGACAGTATCAACACTTGCCCCAAATACCTACCAGTTTATCCTGGGTCTAAGAATTTGTTTATTACATACTTCAATAAACTTACTCAACAGCATGATACGGTGCTGATTTAAATTATCCGGACAAAATGAACAAAACTTGAATTTTCAAACACTTTTTTCTCAAATTGGGTTAAGATTAGACAAAAAGTCAAGAGAACAAAAGTTGCTTAGAATTTCACCAAAATTAATATGGTGCCATTTTTTCTCCGAAATTCTCAACAAAAATTTTACCCCAAAAATGGGTCATTTTGGCGTTTTTCAATTAATCAAAAATTACGCGGAAACTACTTTGTTAATTGACAAGTAAATTATATCACAAGAAGCCTCTTACACAGCTCAACAAAGTTTAAGAAGGGTTAAATCTCCAAAAATTTGCGCAAATTGTTTAAAATTCATTTTTAAACAGAGATTCTGGGTTTTATATTGTAAAAATCACATTTATTGACTATCAAGTGAAAATTTTTTCATTTATACTGGTTTTTGGAGATTTAACCCTTCTTAAACTTTGTTGAGCTGTGTAAGAGGCTTCTTGTGATATAATTTACTTGTCAATTAACAAAGTAGTTTCCGCGTAATTTTAAGCAACTTTTGTTCTCTTCACTTTTTGTCTAATCTTAACCCAATTTGAGAAAAACGCGTTTGAAAATTCAAGTTTTGTTCGTTTTGTCCGGATAATTTAAAACAGCACTGTATTGTAAGAAACAATCAATTTTACGAAAGCTTTACGCGGAAAAAGCTTCATATTGCGTAATCAATTATTTTAACTTCTGTTATTTGAAAAAAAGACGTCGCTATTAAAACTTACTATAGCATGCAAAAACTGACCCGTTATAAACTGCTAAAAGCCTGCAATCAATTATTGATTTTCATAGAGAGTAGCTCAGATCATTTTCTCTCGGGTCAATAAGAACGTTGTTCAAAATTTAGTCCACTAGTGTCAATTTCAACGGTATAAACTAAGTTAGGTATGCCGCTAGAAAAAAAACGTAACTCCTCAAAATACCTTTTAAACTCCTCAAATAAAGACTGAAATAAAGATGAGGGCTCAGCAAAATAAAACGCTTCAAGTTTCAAACTTCTCTGATGTAATTTAAAGGCTTTTCACATTCATGAACCCGTTACTTTCGTATACTACTTTAAAAGTTTTACGTATAAACATATAACAGTATGTGCCTATAACGTATAATCGTATAAAACACGTGGACGTATAAAAAAACTTTTTTGCCAAAACTTTCCGCCTTGCAGGCCAATTTGCAAAAAAGTTTATTTCAGACCATCACACAATGGACTTCTTTGGAAGGAAAACTGCCCAACTTTGCATGCTGAAACAGCCGCCGAAAAAACTTCATTATCCAAAAAAATCACATTTAATTGCTTTTTTAGCTGTTCATTTTTTTATTTTGATCTTTTACCGAAAGATTTTTTGAGAAACTGTTCCCAAAGCACATGGAAATTATTTAACAAGAATTCAAAATTAAAAATTTAAAGTTGTAGCTTAAAAGAATTCAACTCAGTCTTTATCGAGCTGCTACTATTCATATGAGAAAACAAGGATAGCATGTTACTGTGCAAGTAGCACAGAATGTTCCGACCATAGTAAGAAAACTAAAAATTTTTTCAAACCAGTATCGTTTTTTTTTCTGCGTGGTGTGATAAAGGGATCTGAACGAAAAACTGGAACTTAGAAATATTCGAGAGTCATAGTAAAATAGGCAAAAATTGTAGAAAAATGACTAAAAACAAAATATCAAAAAAATTGACTAAAAACAAAAAAAAGTATCAAAAAAATATATTTAAGCCCGCTTAAAATTTTTTAGTCGTTCGAATTACTATTGCAAGGGCTTTAATATGATATATCACTAGACCCATTCCGATGATTATTTGTGGTACTTGATTTTGCGTGAAAAAAAAACTAAAACAAACCCGAATTCAAATTTCCAGCCCAATTTTAAATGGTCGGAACAAGAAGCATATCAAGTTGCTCTACAAATAACACAATGTTTCGTCACACAAGTCTTTTAAGGAACCATAAATATTGACTGTGCTATCATTGAGGTACTTGAAAATGGGTGTAAACCTTTTGAGACTTTTCTTGAATTTTTTGTTGTTTATTACTAAGTGAGAGATTGATTTGGGCAAAGAGTCATAAGAACCAGTTGAAATAGCTAAAATTTCAAAATTAAATTGAAGAATTAGATAAGAAATTCAGTCTTGAAATCATAAGCCAGAAAAACAAAACAAAAATCAGACTAATTTTCCTCGACACTAAGACAGCTATTCGACCATTTTTGCAATCAAATTACGGAGTAAAAGGGTTATAATATGATACTGCACTTGACTTTGACTGTGCTTTCTTTGAAGAACTTAAAAACCGCTGAAAATTGAGTTTACCTTGCATTTGTGCATGGGATGATTTTAACTGTCCGCCAAAAAAAATGCACACCATGCCTTAGACTCTTCCTTTCACTTCGTCAATTGGTCAGAGTAAGTACCAAGTGTTTTTCTTTAACAAAAACAAAGCATTGATTACTTCAATCAAGCAATTTGAAAAAAAAAGAAACTCATCGTCTGTTGTTAATTTAACTGCGTTAATTTAAGGCATGTTTTCAATACAAGCCATGTTTGATCATCAGGAAAAAATGTCTTTCCACCCAATTTTCGAAGTCTATAGAAACAAAAAAAATTGTTGAGCAATTTCATTTTCCAATTTCTCGGTTCATTGTTCGCATCAACATTAGAATGTACTCACTATAGTTATTCATTGCCACTAGGCGGCATCAAATGACGTCAATTTAAAGCATGCAACCAACCAACGTAGAGAGACACAAGCCATGCTGAAATGATCGAGAAATAAACAACAAATTATACCACTCTCTAGAATAAAAGGGTGCAAATTGAATCAAATAAAAAGTCAGGACAACAGGCGAAGCTTTTGTGTACATTGCTTTTAAAGTATACTTAGTTAAATAATATATCTTACTTTCAACAATTATTGTTCCCAATTTTTGACCGTATTTGCAATACTTTTCAATTCGACTAATACATCGCCACCTTTGTTTTCCGCTAAAGCATGAATTCAAGTCAAAACAATTGGTAATTCGGAAAAATTTCAATATTCAATCTATTAAGTTTTCTTTTGTAACAACAAGATTTGCATCTCAACTTAGCCTGCAAACCAATTTTTGGGGGTATTTGAAACGGAATCAACACAACATCCTCACCATAATATTAATTTCGTATCCAAATTGCTTAATGCTATGCGTAAAATACGCGATTCTGATCCTCTACACCTCCAACAAAGAACGAAGTTGAAAACCCCCGCCCCCCAAAATGCTTTCGGGGGGAAACTCGGTCCGAAACAGGACATAAAAAACAAGGATAGACGGTTACAGTGCACGTAGCAGAATGTTTCGACCACAGTCATAGAAAATAACAAAAAAATAGTGTCGTTTTTTTCTGCATGGTGTAATAAAAGATTATTTTGGAATTAAAAATTCCAATCTTTCTTTACAAAATGGCACTAAAAAACTTTTATTTGAGTAAAACTAAGTTTTCACGTCTTAAAGAAAGCTTACATAAGCTATTGTAAGCCTAAACGCTCACACCATAGTAGTTCGAAATAAGAGCAAAAATATTTATTTCAAACCGGTTTATCTCAACACTGAAAAAAAAACTCAAAACTTTTATTGTCGTTCGAATCACGATTGAGAGGGCTTTCATATGATATATCACTCGACCCATTCCGATAATTATTTGTGGTAACTGATTTTGCATGGAAAACAAAAAAACTTAAACACACTCGAATATAAAGTTCCTCCCCATTTTTAAACGGTCGGAACAATAATTAACGAATGATAGTGCAAATAAACTTCTCTTATCAGAATTTCATTATAATTTCGGACTTATAATTTCGGACTCTTATCAGAATTTTATTATAATTTCATTATAATTTCGGACTAATTACTTTTTGTCAACCGTTTTTTGTTGGACTCTAAATTTAATTCCAACGTTGGGCTCTTGCATTAATCTGGCAAGATATATATCTTCAATTTGAATTTGAAACATGGAATTATTAAAGGAAACATTGAATAACATAAATTTTATTTCAACAATTTTTTTTTTAATTTTCGAAAACGTTAAAAGAATGAAGAAACGAAGAGCGGCCAACAGTATAAAAGAACGCAAAGGCACACACTTTTTTCCGAATATCAAAGAAAAAAAAATATATATATATCACTGAATTTCAAGAATTGATTATGAATGTCACTTTTTTCTTAAACATATCCCATTTAGAGAAAATTGTATCAATAGGAAATTTTTTTATTCCGCGGGAAATTTGGAAAATTTAAGTCCAGTTTCAAAACTAGAAGTCATTCATGTGTTTCGTGACCTTCACACTTAAACTGACCGAGAGGATGGCGTCCCTCATAGTGGACGGACCGAATGCTATAATTTAATTTTCAGTTATTTCAGCCAATCAGAATCGAGTATTCACAAATCTCAAAAGCGAAGAAAAAGCGTTGGCCTTCCTTTTAATTAAGTGACAACTTAAAAGTGATAACTTCCTTTTAATAACTTAGAAAGAAATAAGTCATAAAACTCAACAAATGATGAATTTGGAGTGTTACTGACCTTTCCTGTCCGGCTGTGTCCCACAACTGCAGATGTATTCTGTAGGGCTTCACACTAGGGGGCTGGTCTGTAGGTTTGAACGTCTGAAACAAAAAAAAATCAAAAAAACTAAAACACACCCTAATAAAAAATTCCTCTCCATTTTTATTGGTCGGATTAAATATTTCTTCACATGTCGTGAAAGCGTTCCATATCGAGACCTTCGCCCGCTATGGCAAGGAGACCACTTTGCTGTTTTTTAGTCTTACTTTCGATGCCATGTCACTTAATATACTCTGAATTTCTCTCAGCTATGTATCAATTAGCAAACTCCTATTCGATTTTAGAATGAATCAGTTTAAAATACTTCATCTACTTTTATCTTTCAATGAGTTTTTATTATCCGAAAACGTAATTCATCTGACAAGTTGTCTCAGTTTACAATTTAGTTCGGCTTGGGAGAATACCAAAAAGACATCAGCAAGTCGGGTGGCATCTCCATAATACGTAACCAAAAATATATTTGTATGTAGAATGTAGCCTGAAACCGTGAGGCGAAAACTCGTATCAAGCGACAATTCGTAACAGGCGACAATTCGTAACAAGCGACAACTCGTAGCAATAGATTAAGCGTGGAACACTAACTTACGCGCAATATGCCTCTCGTGCCGGATGTAAGCGCAGCGGAGCAAGCTTATTCTACTTGCCAATGCCTTGTTACGAATGGTCGCTTGTTACGAATTGTCGCTTGTTACGAATTGTCGCCTGTTACCAACTGTCCCTTTTACGAATTGTCGCCCTACCATTTGAAACGCAATTGGGAACTTTTTCACTTGTTCAAGATGCTAGTCGGCATTTTCTAACACTTAGAAAAAAAAGAGTATGCTAAGAGACCCTCTCTTTAAGTACATTAAAGCATGCTATGCGACACATTTTTGATTTGAAACACTGGTGATGGAATAGTATGCTAATTGGCCCGCACTCTTAATTTTGTTAAGATTAGACAGCAATTTTGCACCCAAAACACAGTTAGATGTACGTCATTCAACTCAAGGAAACTGAAAAAAAAATTATGGACTGTTTTTGAACATATTTTAACTTCCAGAAGAAAGTTATATCAATGAAAGCTCTTTGATGAATGTCAAAAATCTTTTATTATTGACATTTTTGCCATAGAAGAAACCCAATTAGAGAAAATTGGGTCAAAAATTGATTTTTTTCCTTTGCAAACTTAAGTCCATTTTCGAAACTAATAGCCATTCAGGCTTTCTTCTCACTATTTGCCATTTTCTTTGCTGCAGAATTTGCCTTCCATCTAACAAATGAATTTGAATTGAGTCTGAAAAAGAAATTGAACGTCAAACCGAGAAAAACCAAATTCCTGAAAAAGATCATGACGACCAAAATAAATGATAAATCAATTCGTTCATCAAAACTTAAATAATGAAAGGAAGATTCGCATAAAACCCTGATGCAAATTATCTAATTATCTATGTTATGTGGTCGGAATTAGTGGTGGTGCAACCGAATTTTCAAACATCCGTTTGTAGAAAAATCTTCGAAGGCTGCCGCGAATATTTTATACTATTTGATCTGCGTGTTTTTGAGGTTTTCTCACTATTTGACTTGCTTAGCGAGCGACCAGACAACAAATCTAGTATTAAATTGAAGCTGCTTTAATCCGTCGGCACGTGTTTTCCGCACAGCTGGACACATGGTAACCTAAGTTTTCTGCATGAAAAAAGAATTATTTTCATGTAAGTTTGAATCTTGAATTTTTTCTCAAGGCAATAAAAGAACGAACGTTCGAATGTTTTTGAAGAACATTCGAAGGCTACTTTCGTACAAATGTTGCCCTAGTAGTCATTCTACCTTATGATGACAAAATAAATAAGTTTTCCTGCGCTTACGGTAAAATTCGCAAGGTGAGCTATTTCAAGTAATCCATAGTTAATAAAATCCCAGGATACCAAAATCATAATTAGTCGACTATGAAAAACGCTGATAAATGAAATAATAAATCAGTCCGTTAATTTTTGTTTTCTATTTCTGGCAAAATATCTTCAGAGATTAGGATTTCGTTACGGTTTTAGACGATTCTGATTTATTAAAACTTTCCACTCAAGCGATTAGCCATCAAGACGGGTTATTTAGGTTGGAATGCATGTTTTCCTATGCATTTCCAAGCCCCATGCAAAAACTAATCAAAGTACAAGTGGATTTTAAAAAAACGAGTGTCTTATTCAAGCCAGTCAAAAATTGTGACATTTAGTTAGCAGTGCTATTCTTTCTACGTAATTGCTAAAAAAGCGCAAGATAACTAGTACTGAAATGCTTAAATTATTTGACTGGAATATATGTGGTAACTGCCTAATATGTAAGCCGGTTTGTAATCCGCCCGGCTGAATATAACCCGCTTTTCATGATACTGACAGGACCAAAGGGAAGCCACAAGGCATTTAGTTGGAAATCAATGGGCATGTTTTTTAAGCAGCTACAAAAGCATTTGCGCTTCCAGACACATTACATCCTCGTTGCTCTGCTCACAACTGGAGGAAACAGTTTGAAATATCAATGTTTAAGGAATAGAGCGCACATCATCAAGCACATATTGCTCAAACATACCAAGGAAAAATGGAGGAAAAACTGTTGGAAAGAACAAAAAGCTGAACTTTACTTAAAATCTAGTTGACAGTATCCGAAAACGAAACAGTTAGCTGCAAAAAAGCTGATGTATAATCAATTGTCTAACACGATCACTTGTCTTATTCACATCCGTTTCTAATAAAGTCAGACTCTGCCAAAAATAACATACAGAGAAAAGGTCTTGACTTAGGGAAAAAAGACAGACTCGATTCTAATTAACCGAGAGAAAGACAGATGTCAGTTTAAAAACTACAGAAGAACCCCAATAGCTTTATCACACCAGAGGCTAATTCCACGATTTAAAAAACTACATACAGACATTTTTTTTCAAACAGTTTTCACGAAAACGAGCCATTTGATTAAAACAGTAAAATTCCATGGTGATTAAAAATTGCACGCAACAACAAACAATTCGATTTCTGATCGGAAAAGCATAAGCACTTTCCATTGAAGTAAAAAATTTATTCTTGAAATTAAGATTTTGCTTAAATTTTGTTACTCAATAAAACAATTAATAAGTGCTCGCTTCGATGAGCGATATAGAAAAATAAAATGAACCAACAAAATGAACAAAGGAAGTTCAAAACGAGGAATAAATTCCAAAAAATACTGAATTACGAGATTGAGATTAGCTTGACAGTATTCTGCCTTAAGCTTTGCAGCTGTAACTTTGCAAGCAGCAGTACATAGCTAATGTTCCAAGCACACATCCTTAGACAATTTTTGAAATTAATCATTTGATTTGATGAATCATTTTATAATCTTCTCTTTCCGGACTTTTTTCAAATCTTAAGTTGGGGACGCGATACACGTCTTGCAATTATTTGCTGGTTGCGAAATAACCAGGACGCATGGACTTGCAAGTGCCACATGAACAAAAAATCATCCACTTGAAATTTCGTCAATCACTCGCCTAGATGCATCTATCTAAAAAGCAAAAGATCTATTTTCAAACATTGTTTTTGGAATCCAAATCCTGACTTAAATGGCTTCAAAATGATAGCATACCCTTCAAAACGATTGAAGTAGCGGATTTAAGGAAGGGGGACGACCTTCTTCAGGGTTCGACCCCTGAACACACAAAGATTAAATTTGTTCTACAGACGCCAATAATACTAGTTTTGAGGGGGAGCGTGCTCCAAAAAAAAACAATTTTCTGGCCAATAAAAAACCTCATAAAAAGTGCTTAAAAACGTCTTTTGGTCTTCTTTTCAAAAACTCGTCTGCGTGCGGCGCAGAACAATTGATCCAAAAAGGTCTTCATTGTGATTTTAAAGAGCTCGGAAAATCAATATGTTGACCTAAAAAAATTAGATTACTTAAAATTTTGAAAATCCACCCCCTACCCTTGATCAAATCCTAAACTCAGTCCCGATACATAGGTAATTTCTCGCTGTTAGACAGATTTAAGGAAGAAATGATGCGCAACTTTCAGCGTTGAAACTGAAACTTTAAAATTAAACATAGCCAACAGACAGTTGAAAAATTGCCGATCGACACAAGAAAACAGAGAAAAAAACGCACAATTTTTTTTTACAAAACAAAACGAATTTCAAAGTAAGCATTATATGGTTTTAAAGCGCTTAGAATTTCACGACCAAATTATTATAGATATATTTTTGATAGAATTAACGCAATTTGAGAAAACTGAACCAAAATGTATAGTTTTTAATCCGCTGGGAAACGCCGACAAATTATTTAATGAAATGCTGCGCAATTTATTAAGGGAATCAGTAGAATGTTCTAAAAAAAGATACCACATAAGCCAAAAAAATAACCTATGAACAGCATTAAACTTTAAAGTGAATGACATGCAAAAAATAGTCGGAAACTAGGCCGCCTAAAATTAAACCCAAAGCGACAAGTCGGAAAACAGACCTGTGGCTCCGGCAGGCCGAAGTACTGAAGTTCCTGTAATTCGCGCCTAGCTCGCGGGAAAATAACAACATCAAGTCGAAATGAAGAAAAACTAAAAAAATTTAGTTTTAAACTTGGACCACAAATATATTGGAAAAACATTAACGGGAAAAATTCTGGTACCCAATTGCACACACGCAATCGCAAGAGTACACACAGAGGCCAAGCTTCGCAAAAACTACCGATTATACAACAAAAAGCAGCTCTATAACTGAGAACATAATTAACTAATCTAAGTAACTAATCTTTGCAACGGAAATTGAAAGTTAAAAATTTCACAAGTCAATAAGTGAAAAAATCTGAGCGCAAACAAATAGTGAGACTTTATGCTAAAAACGTGACAATAATAAGTAGGAAAAAAATCGGACCGGAAAATTAATTTAAAAGAGCAATCAACCTATTTGGGAACATTTTGCAGGCAAACGCTACTTTTTCAGGCAACGTTTATAATTCTGAAACATCGAAATTGCATGCAAGACTCATTTAAAACGAAAAACCAGCTCTCGTTAATTAATTTTGTCAATCTGAACTTTTTGCAGCTATCTAAAAAGCTGTCTTCGTTCAGGTAAAACATGGATTTAGAAATTGATTCTGTCGTTGAAATGCTTACACACAATTGAAACGTGTCCACTTTCTAAAGAAATCGGTAAACATAGCCAACTGACAGTTGGAAATGAGTAATGAACGCAATGAAACAAACAAATAATGCTGTTTTTTTTTCAAAAATCTTCAACTTTCGAAATTCGAAGAAAAAAATAAATGGCCTTAAAGCTCTTTGAATTTGTAGAACAATTTATGCTCGACACTTTTTTGTTAAAATTAACCAAATTTGAGAAAACTGGATCAATAGGCAAAACTTTTATTTCACTGGGATATCTGATAATTAATTTCCATTTTCAAAATTAGAAGTTGATCAGGTTTTTCGTGACCTTGACATTTTTGCTGTTCGATAGTGGATTTGCCTTCCTTTTAACAATGAAAAAGCACTGAACTTAAAAAGTAATCACAAGTCAAGCAGCGAAAAAACGTGAACGTGAACAAATATTAAGACTTTTTCCTGAAAAAAAAATCAGCAAGACCACTACGTTCATTACTCTTAAAAAACGAATGTTCTTCATAGTAGAATATGACGCGATTCGGAAAAATCAATTAATAGAAAATTAATTAAAGCACGACAATGATGATCTCTCATCAGAAATATAATCCAAAACAAAAAGATAGAGATCTATGCCGAAACTTTCCGAACACAGAAGGAGTCTAAATCTTTTATATTACGTTTTGCTAGAAGTTTGCCGTGAAAACTATTTCACTTTTGTCAGTTTCGAGACTCTTTGTCTTCTGGCTGCTTTACGTGTATGAAGCAGGCATCAGAATAATTACATATTACTGATTCGGCGGAGCATGCAAATCGAACTACACTTATTGATAGTTACACCTTCAATTAGACCAAAAAATGTTTTAAAAAGACAACCAATATCAAATAGTGGTTCAATAAGCATGCTTGAAATGTTTTACCTAATCAGTCTGTTAGGTTCGATTAAGTATATGCTATCAACTTCATAGACGAGCGGGCATTTCTGTTGTAAGCGGAAACTCTACTAACAATTCTGCGTTCCCTGAAGTCTATTCCAACGGTTGAAATGAATTTGGAGCTAAACTGTTTGTCTGTGTATTGATACAAAAAGCAGGTTTTGCCGACACCACTGTCTCCTAATGCCAGGAATTTGATGAGAAAATCATAGTCTCCAGAATAGCCGGTCGAGCCAGCTACTCCTCCGTTTTCTATAGCTCCTTCGCCCGAAGAACCATGTGAGCTGTGATTAGACATCGATACCAACTCAGATCATGAATGAAGAAAAAATAAGCTGACCGTAAAATACTTATCTGAAAATAACTCAATTTTTACACATAATTCACACATAATTTATTTGTATCATAGATATACATTAAAGAAAAAACGAAACAACATAGCCAACATTTAATAAAATATTTGACCTTTGATTCACAAGAATATTATGCGAGACACACGTTTCATTAAAACAACTCAATATCAGAAACTGGATCAATCGGTAAATTTGTTAATCACCTGACAGATCCAAAATTGGAAAATATTGAATTAAAATGTAGAGTTTTCGATCATGAAGACAATTATCAGGATATCTTAAAACCAGAAGTACGTCTAAAACAAAGTTTCTTCAGTCATATTCAGGAATAAGCACTTTTCAGTGGATGGAGATTCGAAATTCATAAACAAAGAGATAACGTTATCTTAAACGCCAACAAGGTAGTAAATGATAAATTACAAACTAAACTAAAAAATCCACTTTAGAAATAAACAGTTGATTTAATATTGCACAAGGCTTCAGAGAAGGAAGAGCAATTTTCAATATATTGAAAATCACGTTTGTGCATCGTTTAAATTTCTTCGCGAATTATTGAATTATTTTTCATTAATACTAAACCACCAAAATGGTTCTCGACCTGGGGCCTTGAATGACAGGCTTGTTTTTCAGTGAGGATTTTGCCTATCGTTTTCCTCATAATCAGCTTGTAGAGCTGCGGCGAGTATCAGTTGTTTTCACAATTTTCACTTGTTTCCTCTCCTACTTACGTGGAACTTTTCTTAGTTGGACGTGCACTTGAAAAATCTGTGCAATGTTCCTTCTGAGCTAAAGCCAAATATTACAGATCAAACAGGCAAAAACCATAGCTAATAATTCTACGTTCATAGTATATTTGGAGCTAAATGTCCAAAATCAAACGCGCCAGACTTCACGAGCCAGGCACTTAGAGTTAAATTGTATTCCATGTATGAACATGAAAAAAAACGAAAAAAATGACATGTTATCAAAGAATTGGTAATTTATTCTGAAACTAAAATAGCATGATTTGATTGGTTCAAAACTTTTAAATATTATCTTTTCGACATGTTTTGCGAATAATAGATCTTCAATAATTATGTGTATTTTGAGAAAATATTTAAATATGATGCAAAAAATGTGTGAAAACGATTAAATTAACATTTAAAACTCTTATCATGACATGTCAGGCTTGACAGAGATCAGAAAAAAATTAGAACGGAAACTTAAGGAAAAAGTTCCTTAATTCATTATGTAATTACAATTGGCTCACTGTTTGGCCAAAAAACTTAGATTTTCTTTGATCAGTTTTCAAAATACAGAATCCTGCTTATGCACAAAATGCACGAAAACGTTTGAATTAACATATTTAAAATCTCACTCCTCAATAATGTTCCTTTTGTACAATGTTGAAGCAAGGGAACTGAAATTAATAATCAGTCTCGCATCAATAAGTTTCTGGTACCAGGAACTTTTGTATCGCGGAAAAAGATTAGCATTTCTTTTAAGTCTTTCGTTGATGAGTTTCAATTCTGATAAAAAAAAACTAAATTACAAAAGGGGCCCTTCCGTTTAGTTACGGTAAGTGCACAAGCTGGATAGGGCCATACCAGCGATATAAAAATGCATCTATATCAGCAATGAAGTCATAAATCAGCATTAAATGCATCGTCATAATGTTAATTTATCTTAGCCGTCCTTCCTCTACAATAGCGCTTATGGAGTTGTCGATATATTGAACTTTGCGTAGCGATCTGCACCCCCTTATACAAAGTATAGAGCTCCTCAGGAGCGCGAAGCTTATTTTTGTTCTGATGCAGTAAAATTCTGATGCAGTAAAATGCTTTGGTGCAATAACTTCTTACTTTCATCAGCCTTTCCCTTTCTCAGAATATCACCAATGAACCTTCCAAAAACAGCGAATTTTGTCTTGCCGTCATTCTTTGAGGCAGTACCGCAATAGCAATTGGAGGAGTTGCATCTCTTTCTCAAGTCAGCACTAGTCAATTCTGAGCAGTTGCCATGAAAGCATCGACCTCAAGTATAAAAAACCTCAAAAATCGCATCTGATGGAGTATACTGTTTCTTTTCTTACCGCAGACGCCAAGGGGGAGGGGGTTATTTTTCCCTAGATGGACTGATTGTTATCATTTAAATCAAGTCTAAGCCTAAACCAAACTTTTTCTACCTCGACCATTATTTCTAAGTGTGTTATCTTAAAAAAGCTCGCATCGCAACATCATCTCTTTGAATGTACAATTCTGGTTCACAGAGAAATTGGTTACTTCGTCGATTGGTTCACGCCGATTGGTTACTGCTAGTTCCAAAAGCGTCGGGGTCTCTTCTCCAGAATAGCCGGTCGAGCCAGCTACTCCTCCGTTTTCTATAGCTCCTTCGCCCGAAGAACCATGTGAGCTGTGATTAGACATCGATACCAACTCAGATCATGAATGAAGAAAAAATAAGCTGACCGTAAAATACTTATCTGAAAATAACTCAATTTTTACACATAATTCACACATAATTTATTTGTATCATAGATATACATTAAAGAAAAAACGAAACAACATAGCCAACATTTAATAAAATATTTGACCTTTGATTCACAAGAATATTATGCGAGACACACGTTTCATTAAAACAACTCAATATCAGAAACTGGATCAATCGGTAAATTTGTTAATCACCTGACAGATCCAAAATTGGAAAATATTGAATTAAAATGTAGAGTTTTCGATCATGAAGACAATTATCAGGATATCTTAAAACCAGAAGTACGTCTAAAACAAAGTTTCTTCAGTCGTATTCAGGAATAAGCACTTTTCAGTGGATGGAGATTCGAAATTCATAAACAAAGAGATAACGTTATCTTAAACGCCAACAAGGTAGTAAATGATAAATTACAAACTAAACTAAAAAATCCACTTTAGAAATAAACAGTTGATTTAATATTGCACAAGGCTTCAGAGAAGGAAGAGCAATTTTCAATATATTGAAAATCACGTTTGTGCATCGTTTAAATTTCTTCGCGAATTATTGAATTATTTTTCATTAATACTTAACCACCAAAATGGTTCTCGACCTGGGGCCTTGAATGACAGGCTTGTTTTTCAGTGAGGATTTTGCCTATCGTTTTCCTCATAATCAGCTTGTAGAGCTGCGGCGAGTATCAGTTGTTTTCACAATTTTCACTTGTTTCCTCTCCTACTTACGTGGAACTTTTCTTAGTTGGACGTGCACTTGAAAAATCTGTGCAATGTTCCTTCTGAGCTAAAGCCAAATATTACAGATCAAACAGGCAAAAACCATAGCTAATAATTCTACGTTCATAGTATATTTGGAGCTAAATGTCCAAAATCAAACGCGCCAGACTTCACGAGCCAGGCACTTAGAGTTAAATTGTATTCCATGTATGAACATGAAAAAAAAACGAAAAAAATGACATGTTATCAAAGAATTGGTAATTTATTCTGAAACTAAAATAGCATGATTTGATTGGTTCAAAACTTTTAAATATTATCTTTTCGACATGTTTTGCGAATAATAGATCTTCAATAATTATGTGTATTTTGAGAAAATATTTAAATATGATGCAAAAAATGTGTGAAAACGATTAAATTAACATTTAAAACTCTTATCATGACATGTCAGGCTTGACAGAGATCAGAAAAAAATTAGAACGGAAACTTAAGGAAAAAGTTCCTTAATTCATTATGTAATTACAATTGGCTCACTGTTTGGCCAAAAAACTTAGATTTTCTTTGATCAGTTTTCAAAATACAGAATCCTGCTTATGCACAAAATGCACGAAAACGTTTGAATTAACATATTTAAAATCTCACTCCTCAATAATGTTCCTTTTGTACAATGTTGAAGCAAGGGAACTGAAATTAATAATCAGTCTCGCATCAATAAGTTTCTGGTACCAGGAACTTTTGTATCGCGGAAAAAGATTAGCATTTCTTTTAAGTCTTTCGTTGATGAGTTTCAATTCTGATAAAAAAAAACTAAATTACAAAAGGGGCCCTTCCGTTTAGTTACGGTAAGTGCACAAGCTGGATAGGGCCATACCAGCGATATAAAAATGCATCTATATCAGCAATGAAGTCATAAATCAGCATTAAATGCATCGTCATAATGTTAATTTATCTTAGCCGTCCTTCCTCTACAATAGCGCTTATGGAGTTGTCGATATATTGAACTTTGCGTAGCGATCTGCACCCCCTTATACAAAGTATAGAGCTCCTCAGGAGCGCGAAGCTTATTTTTGTTCTGATGCAGTAAAATTCTGATGCAGTAAAATGCTTTGGTGCAATAACTTCTTACTTTCATCAGCCTTTCCCTTTCTCAGAATATCACCAATGAACCTTCCAAAAACAGCGAATTTTGTCTTGCCGTCATTCTTTGAGGCAGTACCGCAATAGCAATTGGAGGAGTTGCATCTCTTTCTCAAGTCAGCACTAGTCAATTCTGAGCAGTTGCCATGAAAGCATCGACCTCAAGTATAAAAAACCTCAAAAATCGCATCTGATGGAGTATACTGTTTCTTTTCTTACCGCAGACGCCAAGGGGGAGGGGGTTATTTTTCCCTAGATGGACTGATTGTTATCATTTAAATCAAGTCTAAGCCTAAACCAAACTTTTTCTACCTCGACCATTATTTCTAAGTGTGTTATCTTAAAAAAGCTCGCATCGCAACATCATCTCTTTGAATGTACAAGTCTGGTTCACAGAGAAATTGGTTACTTCGTCGATTGGTTCACGCCGATTGGTTACTGCTAGTTCCAAAAGCGTCGGGGTCTCTTCGAACTAGTGGGCGTTGCATTTTCAGCTAATATCTTCCCGACTGACATGATGGTTTTTAAACGCATTGCAAAAAAGACTTCGTCAGCTTACACTTCTGCTACCTTCAGCATTTTAATCTTTTTTGCGGAGTTTCAAGGCCAACGCCGGAACTTTTTAGTAATAGGATATGATTTTTTTACTCCGATTTTCATATGCAACGCCGGGTGCGTATTCATAGGTTCCAAAATGAAAAATCAGTCCCATAGGT